TCTGGTTTTCTATGTCTGTGCTCACCTCAATTTCTAAAACTCATATCCAGGTTTTCTTAAACTTGGAAGAAAAGGAGATGAAGTCTATCAACGCTTTATTCCGTGAGGTTGTGGTAGTCAAAACTTGTGGAAGTATATGCTGCTTGAAAAGTGTTAACAAGCAATTTTTTTTACCCTTACAAATTTTAGTGGTAAAAATGCTTTGAAATGTGGCATTATTGTTTCGAAGTAAAATTTAATTGTGTTTGTGATGGTCCTTCAGCCTAAACTGTTTCTACAGCGAGTTAATTGTTCTCTCTTCATTGCCACAAAGGTTCTTTTCATGTGAATTTTCTACTAAGTTGCCAATTTGACATCATTATAATGTTGCTTTAGGGGCTCTTCTTCTTTTGCATTTACTATCAACACATTTTGAAGTAATGGCAATTCCATTTCTAGCATCGACTTAAACTTTAGCAGTTGAACCATTTTAGCGATATTGGAAAGTAGAAAAAACAGTGCATATTATGTGTTCCAAAAAGATAATGAAAACCGCAGTTGTTTTTATAGCTTGAACATTTTCCAATCTTGCATCTTCTTTCTTGTAGTTGGAGCTTGTCAAAGGAAAAATTAAATCAAGCCAATCCAAGGATGATTATGAATCACTAAAGTTAACCGAGAAGAATCTTATAAGTAAGGTATGTAGTTGCAGTACATTGTGTATTATTTATCAACTAATGAATCAAATCATAAGGCAACTGTAGTTTCTATTATTAAGCTTAGTTGAACTTGAACTTAGTTGAGCAAAAAAAGAAATATACTCATATTGAAGTGCTCAATGTCTGATTCTCTTATAGTGCTTAGTCATTCATTTTATTACGTTTGTCAAACTCTTTGAAACATACCCGCGTGTTTTTTTTTACTTGGACAGTTTTTGACTAATTTCATTTTCCTTTATTGCATGATTACTCTTTTAAGATATATATTGCTTCTGCGGAGGGCAAGATTCCATCGGTTTTGGATTACTTAGGAACGGTTATTGAGGTATGTTGACCTTCTATACATTGTTCCCAGTCCAGCTGTACCTTGGAAGGTTCTTTTATTTTTAGTCGGGAAATGGAAAAGGTACTATATTCGTAGTTGTTTTTCATAGATCTAGTACTTTGTCGGAGTTTAGTTAGTTGAAAGCACCCATCTAGTTGAATATTGGTCAAATCAGTTATGTCCTGCTTTAAAATGTTATAAAATATCCAACCTAACATGCATGAGAGACATGGATCTCTTTAGTTCAACTACCTGTTGCCTGTAGAGTGTACTGTTCTTGATATTCCTTGATAGTCTAACGAATGCATCATAGGACATAAGAACATGCATAAAGCTACATTAGTCTTGCTCTCCAAGCTGTGCTTAATTTTCAGTTTCTCAACTGGACAGGCAGACTGCAAGTTCCTTATATTTGCTCATCACCTACAAATGATTGATTCGATACACCAGTATTTGCTTGTAAGAACTTGGTAATTTGCTCTCAATGAACTTTTTGGAGGTAGTAAATTCTTACCAGATGTCATATAATATATGCAGAAAAAGAAAGTTGGCTGCATTCGCATTGATGGCAGTACTCCCGCAGCATCACGTCAAGCTTTGGTTACAGATTTCCAGGAGAAAGAATCAATAAAGGCTGCAGTGGTACTTTCAGCGCCTCCTTTACTTTCATTCAAAAATATTTTATCTTCTTATCTGCTTTCCATATAATTATTCAATATACATAGTACTTTGCATTTGGTCCATTAGTGGAATATGATCTTCACAAACTATTTTGGTCTTAAGCTATCTATCAAAGCCGGAGGTGTTGGATTGAATTTGACAGCAGCAAGCACAGTCATATTTGCAGAGCTATCTTGGACTCCGGGTGACCTTATTCAAGCAGAAGATCGTACTCATAGAATTGGCCAGGTGATTTATGATATTGCTAGATATACAAATCTCAGACTAACATTTGATGTTTTGTAACCAATTACTATTATTGTATTAAATTTCATTTAATTAACCTTCTGTTCGGGCACACGCGTACCACATTACTCTTCGCTTACAGTTTTCTTTCTTTATTTCTCTCTCTCTTTCTCTCTCTCTCTCTGTCTCCCTCTCTCCCTCTCTCCCCCTCTCCCCCTCTTTATATGTGTATCAGAGTATGTGTGCAGATATGAGTATTTATGTGTATACAACTATACATAATACTTATGAATGTATACGTGCATGCACACACACACACAGATGCATATATATTTACTTACGCAATACAATGTATCTTGTTTTAGGCAGCATCGGTCAATATATACTATCTTCTGGCAAATGACACCGTTGATGACATAATTTGGTATGTCTGTTTATTAAATTATACATTATACTACATTAGCGAATATCTAATTTTGCACATTTACCGCAATACATTTAATAGTAGAATGAGATTTTTGAGTTTTTCTGATTTTACCTATATTAATGTTGAACTCATTTTAACATTTTCCAGGGATGTTGTTCAAAGTAAACTGGAAAATTTGGGACAGGTTCATTTTAACCCCCCTTCACTTTCCCACCCCACCACCACTACACACACATATTCACTTGCACAAGTTACACACAGTTGGAAGTTTACTTGATGATGGCAGCTGAAGCTTAGGGACAATTGTGGTGCTTCCATACTAAAATATCTCCATGATTTGTAGATGCTTGATGGAGAAGAGAAGTCTCTAGAAGTATCAGCAGGTCACTCAAATAAAAGTCCTAGGAAACAGAAGACACTTGATTCCTTCATGAAGCGTTGCAGCACCCCATCATTGGACAATGAGCCGATGCCAAAATGCCCGCGGCGTTAATCATCAACGAAAACTATTAGTGTTGGAACATTTGTTTTGGAAAGTACTGTTTCAAATCAACCCTTCACTATACTGTATCTTCTATGGTCAGTTTGTGCATTATTTTTGGTATTATGCATGGTGCTCCTATTAGTTGAGCCTGCATGTTTTCTCATTTCTTAAAAAAATGGGCATTTTTTTTGGGAAATTCCTTGTTGAGCAATATGGCAAGACATGAGAAAACACTTCTTTTGTCTATCTTGACTAAAGATACACAAGATAGACAACTCCCAAGGGGGTGGGGGTCAGGTTGGTGGTTTATCGAGAGAGTTAAAGGGGTGGGAATCATTAATTTTACAAATGGGGCACTGTAGGGCCCTCAACATGAAAAGAGTTTGGCGCTAAATATATGAGTTTTTCGCCACTTGCTTTTAGATGCAAAAAAGAATACTCACTTTGAATTCTGTCACTTTTTTTCAACTTATGTGCTTGAAATTTTCGTACTAATTTTTTTGTCAAACTTGAGTTTGAGGCAAAAACTTTTAAAAAAAGTTTGGTGCTAAAGATATGAGTGGTTTGCTCTTGAAATTTTACAACATATTTTTATATGCAAAAGGAACATAAATGATAAATTCCATCAATTTTTTTCCAATTTAAAAAAACTAGCCAAAAAAAGTGATGGTGCCTATGGAGTTCGGAAAAACTTAAAGAGTTTTGCATCAAAAGTCTTACTACATGATTTTACATGAAAAAATAAACACCTATATCAGATTTGGTCATTATTTTTATCGAATGAATTACTGGCAAAACAGATTGCCCTAGGAGCTCGAGGCAAAAAATTTTAAAAAAAGTTTAGCATTGTGGTTGAGTCTTTTTTTAAAAAAGTTACCACATAGTTTTATGTGCAAAAGGGACATCCAAGCAAAATTTGTAAAGTTTATGTGCCTAGGTGACCAATCATATGATGATTATATGTTTATGTTTGTCATAAACACGTGATAAGCTCTAATAATTGTTTATACATCTTGTGTATCTAAACATAATTTTAGTCTATATTTGGTGATAATAAATATGACAAATGATGAGAATATATAAATTTCAGTCATGCTACCTATTTGCTACTTTGCTAGACAAACAAATGAATCTTGTGAATTCATTCTCATTGCGCACGGAAAAGTGTCCACTATTGTGGATAATAAATACATCAATATACATATTTTTCCAATTAATTACCATTAGTGGGCTGAAGTGTTCCACACCGGCTAAATGAGGGACTTGGTGATGGGTTTATATAGCCAAAGGTTCTCCCACCTTAGCAGCTAGCTTTTAAGGTGTGGTCAGGGACGGACCCAGAACATTTATACCATGGGGTCGTAATTTAGAAAATCTATGTCCAACCATCACGCTTCTAACAGTAAATAAACTGTATTCTATAATACATAACATTAAAGTTTATACTCCCTCCATCCGAAAATATACTTCCCATTTGACTTTTCTTGGTCAAAGTTTGTAACTTTAATATTAATATATTCATTTTGAAATATAGTTTTCAAATATAAAATTTTTATAAAATATATCCATGTATAAATAAATGATATTAGTGGTCAAAGTACAATCTTGGAGACCGTAAAAAGTCAAATGCAAAAAACATTTCCAGACGGAGGGAGTATATATTAATGAAAATACTAAATAAAATAGTTCTACATTGTAAATGTGAAATACATCTTGCAATTGATAACGGCTAGTTTTCATATTTTGAAAGTGATTTATTATTTTATCATTGCTAATACTAGCAAAGACATCTCTTTCAACATATGTCACTAGACAATCATTTAACCAATGGTCACAAATTTTGTTTCGAACCTCATTCTTAACATATTCACAAATCACAATCTTACAAAATAAATAAACGAATTCAATTCCCTATTATGCTATTCACAATAACAAATTTATAACAATTAATTAAAATTTTCACAATTTACAAATAAAAAAAGAAATATCTAATTTCGATAATTAGATTCAATTGTATAAGAAGAAGAAGAAGAAGAAGAAGAAGAAGAAGAAGAAGAAGAAGAATTTTGACATGGATATTTATTCTTGCATGTAAAATCCTTTCTAAAAGTTTCATGTAAAAAAGACTTGTCAATAATGTATAAATTATAATTTTTTTTAGTTTTGGCCTCAAGCTCTAGGGGTACCATCACATTTTTTTGGCAAAATTTCCCAAATTTGACATGGATATTTCTATTTGCATTTAAATCCTTTGTAAAAGTTTGATGTCAAAAAGACTTGTCAGTAATGACTAAATTATAATTTTTTTAGTTTTGGCCTTGAGCTCTAGGGGTATTATCACATTTTTTTGGCAAAATTTTAAATTCATCAAAAATTTGCCAAATTTGACATGGATATTTATATTTGCAAATAAAATCCTTTCTAAAAGTTTCAAGTTAAAAAAACATGTTAGTAATCTCTAGATTATAATTTTTTTAGTTTTGGTCTCGAGCTCCAGGGGTACCATCACATTTTTTGGCCAAATTTTAAATTTATCAAAAAACTTGCCAAATTTGACATGGATACTTATATTTGGATGTAAAATCCTCTGTAAAAGTTTCATCTCAAAAAGACTTGTCAGTATTGTATAAATTATAATTTTTTTTAGTTTTGGCCTCAAGTTCTAGGGTTACCATCACAGTTTTTTGGCTAAATTTTAAATTCATCAAAAAAATTTCCAAATTTGACATGAATATTTCTATTTGCATGTAAAATCCTTTGTAAAAGTTTGATGTCAAAAAGACTTGTTAGTAATCTCTAGATTATATTTTTTTTAGTTTTGGCCTCAAGTTCTAGGGGTACCATCACTTTTTTTGGCCAAATTTTAAATTCATCAAAAAATTTACCAAATTCTACGTGGATATTTCTATTTGCATGTAAAATCCTTTGTAAAAGTTTTATGTAAAAAAGACTTGTCAATAATGTATAAGTTATAATTTTTTTTAGTTTTGGCCTCAAGCTCTAGGGGTACCATCACATTTTTTGGCCAAATTTCCCAAATTTGACATGGATATTTCTAATTGATGTCAAAAAGACTTGTCACTAATGTATAAATATTATTTTTTTAGTCTTAGCCTCGAGCTCTAGGGTCCAATCACATTTTTTAGCCAAATTTTAAATTTATCAAAAAACTTGCCAAATTTGACATGGATACTTATATTTGGATGTAAAATCCTATTTAAAAGTTTCATGTCAAAACGACTTTTGAGTAATGTCTACATTATAATTTTTTAGTTTTTGCCTAAAGCTCTAGGGGTGCCATAACATATTTTTGGCCAAATTTTAAATTCATCAAAATATTTCCCAAATTTGACATGGATATTTCTATTTGCATGTAAAATCCTTTGTAAAAGATTCATGTCAAAAAGACTTGTCAGTAATGTATAAATAATAATTTTTTTAGTTTTGGCCTCAAGCTCTATGGATATTTTAAATTCATCAAAAAATTTCCCAAATTTTTTGGCCAAATTTTAAATTCATCAAAAAATTTCCCAAGTTCTACATGGATATTTTTATTTGCATGTAAAATCCTTTCTAAAAGTTTCATGTAAAAAAGACTTGTCAATAATGTATAAATTATAATTTTTTTTAGTTTTGGCCTCAAGCTCTGGGGGTGGGGTACCATCACTTTTTTTTGGCGAAATTTTAAATTCATCAAAAAATTTCCCAAATTTGACATGGGTATTTCTATTTTCATGTAAAATCCTTTGTAAAAGTTTAATGTCAAAAGACTTGTCAGTAATGTATAAATTATAATTTTTTTAGTTTTGGCCTCAAGTTCTAGGGGTACCATAACATATTTTTGGCCAAATTTTAAGTTCATCAAAAAGTTTCCCAAATTTGACATGGATATTTCTATTTGCATGTAAAATCCTTTGTAAAAGTTTAATGTCAAAAAGACTTGTCAGTAATGTATAAATTATAATTTTTTTAGTTTTGGCCTCAAGCTCTATGGATATTTTAAATTCATCAAAAAATTTCACAAATTTTTTGGCCAAATTTTAAATTCTACATGGATATTTTTATTTGCATGTAAAATCCTTTCTAAAAGTTTCATGTACAAAAGACTTGTCAATAATGTATAAATTATAATTTGTTTTAGTTTTGGCCTCAAGCTCTAGGGGTACCATCACATTTTTTTGGTGAAATTTTAAATTCATCAAACAATTTCCCAAATTTGACATGGATATTTCTATTTTCATGTAAAATCCTTTGTAAAAGTTTATGTCAAAAAGACTTGTCAATAATGTATAAATTATAATTTTTTTAGTTTTGGCCTCGAGCTCTAGGGGTACCATCACATTTTTTGGCCAAATTTTAAATTCATCAAAAAATTTCTCAAATTTGACATGGATATTTCTATTTGCATGTAAAATCCTTTGTAGAAGTTTGATGTCAAAAAGACTTGTCAGTAATGTATAAATTATTTTTTTTATTCTTAGCCTCGAGCCCTAGGGGTATTATCACATTTTTCGACTAAATTTTAAATTAATAAAAACATTTGCCAAATTTGACAAAGATATTTATATTTGCAAGTAAAATCCTTTCTAAAAGTTTCAAGTCAAAAAGACTTGTCAGTAATCTCTAGATTATAATTTGTTTAGTCTTCGCCTCGAGCTCTAGGGGTACCATCACATTTTTTGGCCAAATTTTAGATTTAAAAAAAAACTTACCAAATTTGACATGGATACTTATATTTGGATGTAAAATCCTCTGTAAAAGTTTCATGTCAAAACGACTTGTGAGTAATGTCTACATTATAATTTTTTAGTTTTGGCCTCAATCTCTAGGGGTACCATCACATTTTTTGGCCAAATTTTCAATTCATCAAAAAATTTACCAAATTCTACATGGATATTTCTATTTGCATGTAAAATCCTTTGCAAAAGTTTCATGTAAAAAAGAGTTGTCAATAATGTATAAATTATAATTTTTTTTAGTTTTGGCCTCAAGTTCTAGGGGTACCATCACTTTTTTTTGGCGAAATTTTAAATTCATCAAAAAATTTCCCAAATTTGACATGGATATTTCTATTTTCATGTAAAATCCTTTGTAAAAGTTTCATGTCAAAAGACTTGTCAGTAATGTATAAATTATAATTTTTTTAGTTTTGGCCTCAAGTTCTAGGGGTACCATAACATATTTTTGGCCAAATTTTAAGTTCATCAAAAAATTTCCAAAATTTGACATGGATATTTCTATTTGCTTGTAAAATCTTTTGTAAAAGTTTGA